CCATGCCCATCAATACAGCATAACACAATATAACACAAAAGCATAACACAATATAACACAAGGCATAACAGAACTAGAAAACATAAAATGCAAAATCTAAATAATAAACGAGACAGCAGTATAAAATTGGACAGTAAACACACAGAAATTGCACAGGCAAGGCCAGATTTAAGGATAAAAATTAAACATTTAAAATTTTAAAACACTGGGAGATTAGGCAATGGAAACTGTTGGGGAGGGAGATCCAGATTGAGGAAGGAATTTGTTGCACGAACCATAAAATAAAGTGCTTCTGAGGTCATTTGTGCGAAATTTGGGAGGGAGTATTTTAAATTCAATCATTGAAGGCACATTGGAATAACCAGGTTTTCATGTTCCTCCTGAAGATTGCCAGCGTGGGAACTTGCCTAATGTCTCTGGGGAGTGAATTCCAGAGCCGGGGGGCCACCACAGAGAAAGCCTTTTCTCTCGTCCCTACATGTCGCAGTTGCGATGCAGGCGGGAGCGAACGAAGGGCCTCTTCGGAAGATCAAAGAGATTGTGTGAGTTCATAGACAGAAATGCGGTCGTGCAGGTAGGTGGGTCCCAAACTGTTCAGGGATTTGTAGGTTAAAACCTGCACCTTGAATTGGGCCCAGAAGATAAATGGCAGCCAGTGGAGCTCCTTAAACAGGAGGGTTGACCACTCTCTGTAATTCGCTTCAGTTAATAATCTGGCTGCTGCCCGTTGGACAAGTTGAAATTTCCGGGCCGTCTTCAAGGGCAGCCCCACGTAGAGGACATTGCAATAGTCCAATCTAGAGGTAACTAAGGTGTGGACCACCGTGGCCAAATCCGCCTTCGCGATGTACAGTCGCAGCTAGCGCACGAGCTTCAATTGTGCAAAGGCCCTCCCAGCCACTGCCAACGCCTGAGCTTCAAGCGTTAGCAATGAGTCCAGGAGGACACCCAAACTGCGGACCTGTGACTTAAGGGGGAGTGCAACCCTGTAAAGCACAGGCTGCCACCCTATACCCTGATCTGGCTTACGATCGACCAGGAGGACCTCTGTCTTGTCGGGATTGATCCTCAGCTTATTTGTCCTCATCCAGACAGCCACAGCGGCCAGGCACTCGTCCAGTACCCGAGGGGCCTATACCCGAGTTAGGCTCAGTTTTTTAGGACACGGAACAATGGCTTCAAACTACAAGAGAGGAGATTCCATCTGAACACGAGGAAGAACTTCCTGACTGTGAGAGCCGTTCAGCAGTGGAACTCTCTGCCCCGGAGTGTGGTGGAGGCTCCTTCTTTGGAAGCTTTTAAACAGAGGCTGGATGGCCATCTGTCAGGGGTGATTTGAATGCAATATTCCTGCTTCTTGGCAGGGGGTTGGACTGGATGGCCCATGAGGTCTCTTCCAACTCTTTGATTCTATGATTTTGGCGAATTTTGGCACACCAAGCTCAAAAGGTTCCCCATCACTGGATTAGAGAGATGATTGGTCAAAACTAACACAACGCAAGAAGATCCAACCAGTCCATACTTCAGGAAATAAAGCCTGACTGCTCATTGGAGGGAAGGATATTAGAAGCAAAGATGAATTCCTTTGGCCACATTATGAGACAGGAAAGCTTAGAGAAGACAATGGTGCTGGGGAAAATGGAAGGAAAAAAGAGGAGGGGCCGACCAAGGGCTAGATGGAAACCAGGCTTTCGGGCAATCTGACAACTAGATAAAGACAATTAGATGACTAGGACTGACAGGACTGACAAAGTGGAATTGGAATTTGGACTATGAGATGGCGAACACTGAGCGTTAATTAGGTGAAATCGGTTTTATTGGTTTTATTGTTGCAGTGCAGAAACTGATTGTTAAAAAGCCCAATTTGATGTTGGCAGCATCAAATTGTGCTTTTGTAAGCCACCCTGAGTCCCCCTCTGGGGTGGGAAGGGCGGGGTAGAAGTAACAAAGTGATGGTACTCACCTTTAAGGCCTTGCATGGTCTGGGGCCGATGTACCTGAGGGACCGCCTCACCCCTACCAACCCCAGAGATCCCTCCGTTCTGAGGACCAAGATCTATTGGAAATTCCCAGTGTCAAGACCTTGCGTCTAACAGCAACCAGACGCAGAGCCTTCACAGCAGTGGCGCCATCAGTCTGGAATGCTCTGCCACCTGAAGTTCGTGCCCTGCGGGACTTACCAGCTTTCCGCAGGGCATGTAAGACATACCTGTTTCGACAGGCTTTTAATGTTTGATACTGTTGTTTTAAATTGTTTTAAATTGCTTTTAAACTTTGTTAGATTTTAGCTATTCTTGTAAGCCGCTCCGAGCCCCAGGGGAGTGGCGGCATATAAGTTTAAATAATAAATAAATAAATAAATAAATAAAAATATTAAACGGAAAAGAACATTATGACCAAGGGCAAGATGGATGGATGGGATCCTAGAAGTGACTGGATTGACCTTGAAGGAGCTGGGGGTGGTGGTGGCTGACAGGGAGCACTGGCGTGGGCTGGTTCATGAGGTCACGAAGAGTCAGAAATGACTGAATAAACGAACAACAACAAAACACAACAAAGTTCAACAGGGACAAATGCAAGACACTCCACCGAGGCAGAAAAAAGGAAATGCAAAGAGACAAAATGGGGGACGATGCCTGGCGCGACAGCAGTGATGTCGAGCACCCCCCCCAAAATAAGGGATAGTGACTTATAGTTCTGCAAAGGGCAAGGGCACCAGACTACACAACAAGGGTTAAGTCTTGGTCACATTGCCAAGGCACTGACAACAACAAGGACCCCACGAGGCTTTTGGGAAATGGCTGGATCTTGGGACTTCTGCCCTTTGTGAGAGTTGTAGTTTCCAAAAGCGTGAATCAGTTGCAGCACAGCTGGGGTTTCATCTGCCAGCCTTCCCAATGATCATGGACTCTCTGCCTGCATGTCTTGGACTTCAGTACATACTATCTCCCTCATGAACTTTCCTCAAAGACCTTTTAAAACATTGGACTTCAGGCTTCTTCATGAAAATTAATTCTCTTATTAAATATACTTGGAATGTGGGACAAAAATGGGGTTTTGTTGCTATGAAATGCTTATGATTTGAATGTATGTATCTTGCTATGAAATATTGCCTTTCCCCTTTGCCTTTTGCCCTATAAAATGTGACCCAGGACTGTTGAAATGCTTGAGGGAGAACCACCACCTCCCTTTCTTATTTGATTATTTCACCTCTGCATGGACAATAGCAAGCTGAAACTTCCTCTTGTTTGCTTTGTCTGGCAGGCAAGGAAGTTTATCTGGACACTTTGATTGAATCACAAAGGGCAGGGTTGATCCCCCCCCCCCCGAGGTCCCCTGCCCCGATCCTGTTTGTTTTCCTTCACCAAAACCCATTAAGGGCAGAAAAACCTTTCTTAATGAAATCAACTTTTGCTGGACAAAACAATGCCCCTCTTCCGTCCTGCCTCCCTCTCCCTGATTTGCTAAGGAGCCAAAGAGGGAGGGAGTTTTGAAACTTTCAAACCTGTATTTTCTCTTTCAAAATGCCAGTAAAATTCTGTATTGCTATGCTTGTAGTGGAACTATTCCTACAATACATCTGATTTCAGCTGAATCGCTAATAAAGACACCTCGGTCCCAGCTTCTTCCGCTTTGGTGAGGATTTATTATTTTAAATATTTTTGCTGCTGAAATTGGCTTCGCTGGCCTCACCAAGGTTCAAGGACTCTCTTTGGTGCGGTCCTCAGGATCTCCTCGGCTGGGGAGATCCTCCTAAAAGCAGCTTGATATCAGCAGGGCGTGGAAAAAAGGTTTTGAAGTCCTGAACATGAGAACGAATTTCCTAACTGTAAGGAGAGCTGTCCAGCAGTGGAACTCGCTCTCTGCCCTAGAGTGTGGTGGAGGTCCTTCTTTGGAGGCTTTGAAGCAGAGGCTGAATGGCCATCTGTTGTGGGTGCTTTGAATGTAATTTTCCTGCTTCTTGGTGGAATAGGGTTGGACTGGATGGCCTACGAGATCTCTTCCAACTCTAGGATTCTAGGATTCTATGATTCTAAGGCAGTGACATATCCGGCCCATCCTCTGTTTGGATATCAGCCAGTTACCAACGCCTTAAATCAAGAAACATCTTCCTAAGATCGACAGAGATATTTGCAGGAACACCTCAGCAAGCGAGAGTCCAAAAGTGGCAGGCTCAAACCCAGAACCTGAATCCATTGCTGATACTGAATGAGGGACTCCGTCCTGGGCACACAGAAGATTAGGTGACTTGGAAGGTGCTGAACAGGCTGCGCTCTGGCACCACGAGATGCAGAGCCAACCTTAAGAAATGGGGCCACAAAGTGGAGTCCACGACATGCGAGTGTGGAGAAGAGCAAACCACAGATCACGTACTACAATGTGACCTGAGCCCTGCCACATGCACAATGGAGGGCCTTCTCGCAACAACACCAGATGTATTCCAAGTGACAAATTTAGCACAATGCCAAGTTTTTAACTTAGTGTTTTTAAATACATTACAACTGCATCCTTGGCTAGCTTCTGACACAATAAAAATAAAAAAATGTAAATAGTTTTAATTCTATGTTGATGTTTATTTTCTTTAGGATGTAAGTGTTGTATTTTTTATCACTGGAGTCTCTTTAGGAGAAAAAAACTGGGTGATCCTGGGCATGTCACACTCTCTCAGCCTCAAATGAGCTCCAACTGATGCGCTATTACAAGGTCGCTAGAAGTCGGGAACGCCTTGAAGTCGAACAACAAAGCCTTAGTTCCTTTCTCTAATAGGGAAAAAATTCTGGCTCCGATCACAAACGAAAGGTGCAACCTTATAGCCGGAAACGGCCGATCCTTTCCGGAGATTCACGAGGCCCCCTAACAGCGAAAATCGACCAAAACCGAACGCCGCCCGCCGAGCGCTGGCCTCAGGCTTCGCTATTCTACGGCAAGGAACGAATCCTTTCCGGAGATTCCCGAAGCTCACCCGAGCGATTCCGGAAATGCACGAAGGGCTCAAGGCTTGGTCGGCGCTCGCTGCGTGGGAAGGAGAGGCGACGACGACGCCACCGGAGGCGGGAGGGGATGGAGCGCGGCCGGGCCCGGAGTTCCTGAGGCGGCTTGGCCGAGGCGGGCGGAGTCCGGGAGGCGCCATGGCTGCTAATATGTACCGGGTGGGCGGTAAGGCCGGAGCAGGGGCGGGAGGGAGGGAGGGAGGGGGCTCCTCGGGGCTCGCTGGAGGGGGGAGGGGCGCCTGAAGGAGCCGGAGGGGGAGGAGAGATCGGGAACTGAGGGGAAGCGGCGAGGGAGTGCGCATGCGCCTCCGGAGTTCGGCCTGGAGGAGTTCGGGGCGCTTGTGGGCGGCGGTGGAGATGGGCCTGGTCTGTGGGGAGAAGCCTGGCGCCAGGGCCGAGGCTCAGGACGCGGGGCAAAGACCTTGGCGTCTCAATACGAGGGCGGGGGAAAAGGGGGGGGCAAATGTCATGGCTGGTTCAAAAGAATTGACAAGAAAAGAGAAGCCTGGCTTAGTTGACTCCTTGCCTGTTGTTGGCGTTGTACGTTGTAGATCAGGCATGGGCATACTTGGGCCCTCCAGGTGTTTGGGACTTCAACTCCCATAATTCCTAGCAGCCTGGAGGGCCCAAGTTTGCCCATGCCTGGTATTATGTAAATCAAGGTGTGTTAATTAGTGTATCACAAGAAATAGTGTTTCTTTTCCATAGTAGTGGATTTTTTTTTTGTTTCCTCTGTACATTTCGGTTTGTGTTGCATTTTATTTATTTATTTCCTTACGACATTTATACCCCGTCCTCTCACACCCTGAAGGAGCAGTTTACAAGATACTCGGAGCAGTTTACAAGATATATATACATACAATATCTTATATTTATTTATTTACTTACTTACTTTATTTGTATACCGCTGTTCTCAGCCCTTAAGCGACTCACAGCGGTTCACAACAAGAACAGCAAAAATTCAATGCTACAATAACACAGTATAAAAAACAGTTAACATCATAACACATTATACAGTAATATACAATTAACAACAATAGCCATTCACTAGCGTCTCGTCACTAAAAAACATGATCCAGATCCGTCATCCATTGTTCCATTCCTATGTTCATTACACTCATTGCACTGACTATTCGAACGCCTGCTCAAACAACCAGGTTTTCACTTTTTTGCGGAATACCATTAATGATGGAGCTAGTCTAATATCCGTGGGAAGGGCGTTCCACAGCCGAGGGGCCACCACCGAGAAGGCCCTATCTCTCGTCCCCGCCAGCCGTGCCTGTGAGGCAGGCGGGATCGAGAGCAGGGCCTCCCCGGAAGATCTCAAAGTCCTGGTGGGTTCATAGGCAGAGATGCGGTCGGATAGGTAGCTTGGGCCAGAACCGTTTAGGGCTTTAAAGGCCAACGCCAGCACTTTGAATTCAGCCCGGTAGCAAATCGGTAGCCAGTGGAGTTGGCGCAACAGGGGGGTTGTATGCTCCCTGCGCTCCGCTCCTGTTAGAATCATGGCTGCCGAGCGTTGGACTAGTTGAAGCTTCCGAACCGTCTTCAAAGGCAACCCCACGTAGAGAGCGTTGCAGTAAGTCTAAACGGGATGTAACCAGAGCGTGGACTACCGTGGCCAAGTCAGACTTCCCAAGGTACGGTCGCAGCACAAGCTTTAACTGTGCAAATGCTCCCCTGGTCACCGCCGAAACCTGGGGTTCCAAGCTCAGCGATGAGTCCAGGATCACACCCAAGCTGCGAACCTGCGTCTTCAGGGGGAGTGTGACCCCATCCAACATCAGGCTGTAACCCTATGCCCTGTTCGGCCTTGCGACTGACCAGGAGTACCTCTGTCTTGTCTGGATTCAGTTTCAATTTGTTCGCCCTCATCCAGACTGTTACAGCAGCCAGGCACCGGTTCAGGACCTTCGACAGCCTCCTTAGTAGCAGGTGGAAAGGAGTGACAGAGTTGGACATCATCTGCATACAGATGACACCGTACCCCAAAACTCCGGATGATCTCTCCCAGCGGCTTCATGTAGATGTTAACATGGGAGACAATATTGAGCCCTGTGGAACCCCACAAGACAAAGGTTGTGGGGTTGAACAGATGTCTCCCAATAACACCTTATGGGATTGGCCCTCTAGGAAAGAGCAGAGCCACTGTAAAACAGTACCTCCAAGACCCATCCCCGCGAGGCGTTCCAGAAGGATACCGTGGTCGACGGTATCGAAGGCCGCTGAGAGGTCCAGCAGCACCAACAGGGACACACTCCCCCTGTCGAGCTCCCGGCGCAGATCATCCACTAAGGCGACCAAGACTGTCTCAGTTCCATGTCCCGGTCTGAAACCAGACTGTGCCGAATCCAGATAATCCGTGTCTCCCAAGAATACCTGGAGTTGTGAGGCCACCACGCGTTCCAGGACTTTGCCCAAAAAGGGGAGATTGGAAACTGGCCGAAAGTTGTCAAATTTAGTGTGGTCCAGTGAAGGTTAGAATAGCACAAAATCAGTATTATACATAACTAGATTGTACTGTACTGCTATCCTGGAATATTATTAGTAAAATTACACGTAATATAAAAAATATAATTATTATATTAAAATTTTGTATTATTAGTAATATTAGATTGTTTTACAATATTATTATATGGTATTACAATACAATATTGTAATATTGTATTACAATATTATAATATTATGATTATATGTACATAGTAATGGTAAATGTTTTCCCCTGACATTAAGTGCAGTTGTGTCCGACAATGGGGGTTGGTGCTCATCTCCATTTCTAAGCTGAAGAGCCAGCATTGTCCCTAGACACCTCCAAGGTCATGTGGCCAGCATGACTGCTTGGAGCGCCATTATATATGTACATACAATATATTATAATTATTAGCATAGCACAATATTAGTATTATATATTACTGTATTGTACTATATCACTATACTGCAATATTATTAGTACTATTACATGTAATATATACTCTATAATTATTATTTTGTATTATTATTAGTATTATGGAGCCCCTGGTGGTGCAATGAGTTAAATCCTTGTGCCGGCAGGACTGAAGACTGACAGGTTGCAGGTTCGAATCTGGGGACAGCGCAGATGAGCTTCCTCTGTCAGCTCTGGCTTCCCATGCAACGACATGAGAGAAGCCTCCCACAAGGATGGTAAAACATCAAAAGATCCAGCAACACTCTTGCAGATAGCCAATTCTCTCACACCAGAAGCGACTTGCAGTTTCTCAAGTCGCTCCTGACACAAAAAAAGTATTATATTGCATTACATTATAATATTCTCAATTTTATATGTATATGCAATATATTATATTATTAACACAGCACAATATATTGTTGCTGGGGGGAGGGGCTCCCAACTGATGATTCAGGAGACATGGTGGAACTGTCTTACCCTGGCTCACAAGAAATAGTTTTTGTTTTCTATAGCAGTAATTTTTTTTTTTGGTTTTGTCTCTCTTTGTCGTCTTACATTTTGGGTTGTGTTGTATTCTTTGTATGTTTTCCCAGTCTGTTGAGGTTGTATATTGTAGATCATGTGGGGGGAAAGGCCTGAGGTTCAGTTAACGTATTACTCCAGAAAATGCAATTCATGTCAAGCTGAATTTCAGGCAGAGAGAAGTGAAGGAGGGCTCCTCGCAGGTTGGTGGAGTCTCCCTTTTCTGGAGGTTTTTAAGCAGAGGCAGAATGACCGTCTGCCAGGAGGATTTTGCTGGTGTCTTCCCTTCCTGGCAGAAAGGGGTTGGACTGGATGGCCTTTAGGGCCTCTTCCCATTCTTCTACGATTCATATAGCAAGTAAGGAGTGTCTGTACCTCACATTGATTGCTCAGGCGCCCCAGTGCCATGTCCAGCTGCTGGTTCTGCTCCTTCAGCGTTGCCTGTTTGGCTGCTAATAATACTCATATTATACTCTATTTATATTCTGCTTTATCTTCCCGAAGGGACTCAGCGGATTACAGTATACAGATAAAATAATAGAGTCATAGAGTTGGAAGAGACCTCGTGGGCCATCCAGTCCAACCCCCTTCTGCCAAGAATCAGGAAAATCGCATTCAAAGCACCCCTGACAGATGGCCAACCACTCTCTGTTTAAAAGCCTCCAAAAAAGGAGCCTCCACCACACTCCGGGCCAGAGAGTTCCACTGTTTAACCGGTCTAGTTACAGTTAGGAAGTTCTTCGTCATGTTCAAGTGGAATCTCCTTTACTGAAGTTTGAAACCATTGTTCAATTGTGTCCTAGTCTCCAGGGCAGCGGAAAACAAGCTTGCTCCTCTTCTTGACTTTCTCTCACCTATTGATCCATGGCCTGTCTCCTCTCAGCCTTCTCTTCTTCAGGCTAAACATGCCCAGCTCTTTAAGCCACTCCTCATAGGACTTGTTCTCCAGACCCTTGATCCTTTGAGTTGCCCTACTCTGGACACATTCCAGCTTAGAGTCAACATCTCCCTTCAATTGTGGTGCCCAGAATTGGACACAGTGGGATTCCAGGTGTGGTCTGAACAAGCAGGATAAAGGGGTAGCATGACCTTCCTGGATGTAGTCACAATACTCCTATTTATGTAAGCCAAAATCCCATTGGCTTCTTTAGCGGCCACATGACATTGTTGGCTCATGTGCACCTTCTTCCCCACGAGGACTAAGAACTTCATTTTGTTAGTTTTGGCCAACCATCTCTCTAATCTGTTAAGATAGTTAGAGAAATGGGCTAAAACTAACAAAATGAAGTTCAAAATGAAGATATAAGACAAACATTCAATGCCTTTTACACAGTGAACAACAACAACGACATACAGTACATAGGCCTTCATCTTTCATCTCTAGTGTCGGGAAGTGATGTTCATCTCCCATAGGGAGTTGCTCCTGTTCCATTTTCCATGCCGAGGAGGCTGTTATCTGTAGACATCTCTGATCATGTTTTGCTGGCATGTCTGCATGGGACACTCTTTTTACCTTCCATGTTTTGTATAATATTGTAGGATTGGAAATAAAGAGAATGCATTTTAAATACATCTGCTTGAAAGCAGCCTTCTTCCTTAAGCCTGTGTGTCCACATTGGTGAACTTGGGGGTTCTAGTAACAAACACAAGCATTAAGAATGACTCTGGAGAAAAGCATTGTCTGTAGTTTGTACCGTTGTTACATTAGAAAATGTCTATATTGAGGATATGAAGTCTGCCTGCTTTCTAGCTCTTTTTCCATCATCAATTTCATCCTTCTTACAGATTATGTCTACTTTGAGAATTCCTCTAGTAACCCCTACCTTGTCCGCCGTATTGAAGAGCTAAATAAGGTAAGGGTATATAGGGGCATAGAATCATGTGGAGGGTAGTCATGTGCATTCGGGCCAAAAGGCGTACTGTTTCGGGTCTATTTCCATTTGACCCCTCATTTCGTTTACCAGAAAGTTACTCAAAAGGGGAGGGGTGTTATCTGTTTCATTTGGCATAGATTCGGCCCATTGGCTACAATGGGAAACTTTAAAGGAGGGGTCCTTAAACTGGCCCTCCAAGGTCATTTACCCGGCCCTCGCTCAGGGTCAATGTAAGTCTGAAATGACTTGAAAGCACACAACAACAACAATCCTATCGCATCAGCCAAAAGCTTCCCATTGAAATACTAATAAGTTTATATTTGTTAAAATTGTTATTCGTTTTAATTATTGTATTGTTTTAAAGTGGTTTTGCACTACAAGATATGTGCAGTGTGCATAGGAATTTGTTAATTTTTTTTTCAAATTATAATCCGGCCCTCCAACAGTTTGAGGGACTGTGACCTGGCCCTCTGTTTAAAAAGTTTGAGGACTGTTGGTTTAAAGGCTCAATCCTCAGCCATTTTAAGGCCCATCTGCATGAAACTTACTTCAGTTGTAGACACCATTTACACAGTTTCTGCACAGTTTCAAAACAATTCAATCTACTGATTTTTTGTAATTATTTTAAAGTTTTAAACATAATATTTTTCAAAATGAGACAAACTGCAAGAGAGGGTTCTGTGAATTGTAGTCGCTGGATGTGTCCATACTCAGCCAATCAGAACATGGGCACCACCAGGCTTTTTACTGGCTGAGAGACACACAGAGAGAAAAACTTCAACTCACATCATGCTCTGAGAGGAACTTTCAATGGCCACCCTATGCTAGTGCCACTGGGAAAGCGAGTTCCAAGGGCCCTCTCTGGAGGAAGCTTCTGCCGGGGAGAGAAAAAGACTCCACAGATCCCTCTGCCTCAGGTATTTTGTGGACTTAACTCTTTCCGAAAATATTCTCTCTCTGAATTTGTTTCACTGGTCTTTTCGTCCCTCCCTTTTCCCCTTTCTGTTTTTGAAAATAACGTGAAAATGGCCATCTGAAAACTACAAATCTTTTCGTTATCAGTGATTCAAGTCCAACTCTAGTAGAGATCCCTTCCATTATAAGAATGGAGCAAGGTGTGGGTCAAGTGGGACGCTGGGGAGTGTGAGGAAAACAGTGCCACAAAATCTCAAAGCCGTAGGATTTGCCTGAATGCCCATAAACAGGATGATCCCATTCTCTTTCCCCCACCACAGACAGCCAATGGCAATGTGGAGGCCAAAGTGGTCTGCCTGTTTCGACGGCGTGATATCTCCAGTAGCCTCAACAGCCTGGCTGATAGTAATGCTCGTGAGTATCATGGGAGAATTGTGCTTTTTGTCAGTGGCCGGCAGGTCATTGGCTTCAGAGGGTTAGCATTATTTTTGGGTTCTGTGCAGTAAAGCATTTGGATACATCTGATGAGTCTTTAATAGTTAGTACCCTGCCCACTGCTACTCCCATAACTTTGGGAAGAGGATGGACCATGGATGACGTGATTTGCACTGCCTTCACGCACTTCTTGAGACCACTGCTAGCCTCCATGCCTGGCAAAACGGGACCAAACATGGCACACAGACCCTCCCCCCATGACCAACAGAATGTAGGGGAGAACTAACCCATGTGGGAGTTGTAGTTCACTCTGCATCCAGAGAGCATTGTGAACCCTACCAATGATGGATCTGCACCAAACTTGGCACACAGACCGCCATGGCCAACAGACCATAATGGAGGGGTTTGGGGGACTTACCCACCCACGTGGTAGTTGTAGTTCACTTGCATCTAGAAAGCAGTAAAATCGACCAGACCTGCAACACAAACCCAACATGTCCAACTATGCATATAGGCAGGGTTTGGATGTTATTGACCTTGGATCTGGAATTTGTAGTTCACCCTTATCTAGATAGCACTGAACCCAGCCGACAAATGCCCTTTTCAAATAACCTGGCCATCTTCAGGTCCCCAGCTAGTACATAGTATTGTTTCTTCTTATGTTTGGAATTATTTAAGCTTCAACAACTGGCTCAAGATCACCTAATGAGCTTTGTTGAGATTCAGACTTCAATCTTACCAGTTGTACACTGTATCTGTTTAAATCATCAGGCATGGTGGAATGCAAGATAGGGCCTTCTGCGTGTGACACTACTCAGACACTAGTGCATGCGCTGTTAGTAAGAGAAACTTAGGCCGATTAACATTAGATTCGATGAATCAGTCTTCATGATTTGGAAGACCCAATAACCTTGCCACTTAGAAGTTCTCAAGATTGCCAGGCTAGCTGAGTAAAAGAGCCCGACATAGAAGCAAGGAGCTGATAGCTTTTCCTTACTCTCTCCATCTTCCCCTCAACCCAAGGAGAATTTGAAGAGGAGTCTAAACAGCCCACAGTGTCAGAGCAGCAACGTCACCAGCTGAAGCACCGTGAGCTCTTCTTATCACGCCAGTTTGAATCTCTGCCTGCGACCCATATACGGTAAGGGGAGGTTAAAGGTGGTGGGTTGGATCTTGTGATAGTTCCTCCAGAAGATTGTGGGGGAAAGGGACTGCTCTGTTAGAAAGCTTGGGAGTGGAATAGGAGATAGTTGAGACAGAAAGATCAGGAATATGACACAGATCCGACTTGGCTCTTTCAGGGGAAAATGCAGTGTGACGCTGCTCAATGAGACAGACATCCTCAGCCAGTACCTGGATAAAGAGGTAAGGCTAGTTGCATGAAGAGGTATTTCCATGACTTCCTGTGGGAATTTGCAAGTGTTGAGCTTGTGATAGAATTATGTCTTTCTTCTAAAAAGAAAAAAAAATACTAGGTGAGGCATCCTTCAGCTTTTTCCTTTCCTAGTTCTGCAAAATAATATGTGCAGAGGGAAATGCTTAAAAAGGTTCAGAATTGGGTTGTTGTGAGTTTTCAGGGCTATGTGGCCATGTTCCAGAAGCTGAAAAGAAAAATGGGTTCCCCTAAAACCGTGGAGACCAAAATCCACCGATTGTGGTAATGCAAATGTATCTAAATTAAAACATTGTTGGTGAATCACTTACCTCAAAAGTTGAGCTTTTTTTTTTTTTTGATACATGAGCCTTTTTTGATAAATGAGTAGGTAGAGTGTTTGTATATATACTTATAAACTTTATGTAACAAATTGTTCTACTGTATGTATTAATATGTGTTGTTTGTAGACCCAACCGCCTGACGAAGGTTCTTGTGAGTCAAAACCGGTTGCAGGTTGGAGTCGACTCGTGTGTAACGAAGGGAATAGGACACCTATTGTGATTGCTGGAGTCTACTCACATGCAATAAAGAATAGGACATTTATTGACATTCGAGGACTATTCTTACTCACATTAAGATTTTGTTTCATAATTCAAGAGAAGAACCAATTGTTTTTGCTTAATGTGAATGTGGCAGCTCTGTGTTTGGTTGATATGTATATTTGCAATGTATACATTGAGTTAATTTAGATACATTTGCATTACCACAATCAGTGGATTTTGGTCTCCACATGTTCCAGAAGCTCACAACCTCTGAGTATCCCTGCCATAGATGCCGGCGAAACATCAGGAGAGAATGCTTCTGGAACGTGGCCATACAGCCCAGAAAACTCACAGCAATCCATTGATTCCAGCCATAAAAGCCTTTGACAGTTTCAGTTTCAAAATTTCCAAATACCTTTTTTTCATATCTCACTTCCCTTGCAGGATTGTTTTTTCTACTCGTTGGTCTTTGACCCAGTTCAGAAGACACTCTTGGCTGACCAGGGCGAGATCAGGGTAGGCTGCAAATACCAGGCAGAGATCCCTGATCGACTGGCAGAAGGTAACTGGGAAGGGACCCACTTGCTGTGCAAAATATATTATACCAGTCAGTGGAAAGTAAAGTGATTTAAGTGTGTTGTTATCCCCCTATTCCAATCTTTCTCCAGGAGAATCTGACAATCGAAACCAGCAGAAGATGGAGATGAAGGTGTGGGACCCGGACAACCCCCTCACTGACCGACAGATTGACCAATTCCTTGTAGTAGCTCGGTAAGATCCAGCTGGGAGCTGCTGTAACTTTTGTTATCTGATCAACTCTATGGGTCCTGAATCCTCCTCTCTTCTATGCCAGGGCGGTTGGCACCTTTGCAAGGGCCCTTGACTGCAGCAGCTCCATCCGACAGCCCAGCCTTCACATGAGCGCAGCCGCTGCCTCCCGGGACATCACTCTGGTGAGAAAAGACTCCAGAGAAGGGGAGTGAGATAGGACCGAAGGAGAAAGGACAACCCTATGGATAGGGTTGAGATGGCTAGCTTAATTCTGCGAGTCAGAGGAGATACTGAAAGCTTTTAATCTCAAATCCTTGTTCAAATAAGGATTTGGACTACGTTTATGGATGGCGTAATTTTAATATGGAATGTAATGTTTTTAAATGTTTAATATGTATTTAAATTTAATTTAAAATTGATATTTTGGAATTGTATGTGTTTTAAGGTATTGAATAATTGCCTCTATGTAAGCAGCCTTGAGTCCCCTTTGGGGTAGAGAAAGCCGGTGTATAAATAGGATAAATAAATAAATACTCCCTTGGTATTGCCTGCATGCTTTAAAAGCAGTGTTTGTCACCAAAAGATTAGAAGTTTGAGTATTCAAAAAAAAAATGCAAAACTGTATTGGTGAACATGGCTGTCAATATGTTGCTGGAGTCCAATGATACATTTTAAGAGCTATTCAATAGTGGAACTCACTGCCTCGGAGTGTGGTGGAGGCTTTTAAGCAGAGGCTGGAAGACCATCTGTCAGGTGCTTTGATTGTGTTTTTCCTGCCTGACAAGGGGTTTGGATGGCCTTTAGGGCCTCTTTCAACTGTATAATTCTATGATTACTGTAGCTGACTATGGGTCATTCCATGCCAAGTGATCTAAATCTTCCCACCATCATGTTCTCCAATTTGGTTCACATTTTAGCTGTAGTACCAGTCAAGTGTTAAATAAGTTTCCCAAAATGTGAGGTCTCTACATGCAATAGTTGCTGATCTTAGACCCACTCAAAGTATGTTATATTTTGTGCATTTATGCATTATGCTTTATGCATCCTGATGGTCCTGCTAGTTACTGTATGGCTATTGGGCATGGCCCCGATGGTGATAGGGATGCTGGTTTCAATGTGATATATAACATATTTTGACCTGAGTGAATGGTTGCATTATAAAACAAAAAAATATCAGTCTTGTAGAGCAAAACTTTCTCTTTCAGATGATGCTATTCACAAGCATATTCAGGTAGGCACTTTTTAAATAATTGGCTTTTAACTTTGGTTGATTTTACCATTTGTGCCAAAAGTGCCAAATTTGAGGATCTCTATCCTTCAGGGCGGTTATAGATGCTGGGTAATCACAAATCTGGTAGTATTATGTCCAGCACAAGCACAATGCTTGGTCAAAATTTCAAGTCCGTATCTTCGTTTACGTGGAAATTCTTGCAGTCTGAATATTGGTCAAAATTTGATGCACACGTTGAGTCCACTTGTTTGACTGGATTTTGCATCTGTAATGTCAAAATTAATTTCATCGGAATCAGCAGAAAAAAACTGTATAGGAATTCAATTTACTAGCCATTCTTCTACATTTAGTTTCAGTTTTATTAGATGCTCAAAATGGCATTTTCTAAAATGTCATTCACACGCTGACTGACTACCCTTCAGATAAGGAGGTCTAGAGCAGCAACTATTGCAGTTAGAGACCTCAAATTTTGAGGAACTTAGTTTAACACCTGACTGGTGCTATGCTACAGCTAAAAATTGAATAAATTTGGAGAACATGATGGTGGGAACGTTTTAAATTTTTAGACCACTTGGCATGGAATGACCTCTAGATATAATGGTAATTCTAGTTCAGCAGCATTTAGAAGGCCAGCACGGGCTTAGAAGTTATACATTGAGCTTTGAAACACACAAAAATAAACTTATTCTGAGACGTAGGGGCAGAGCAATGACCCGAACTATGGTGTGTCAACTTAGATATGTCATCAAAGTATAATTGACACAAACACACAGTGTATCATGTTAGGTATATAATTAGAGGTATATGGTTTTTTAGTAAAAGCTCTGCTCTGGGCTTGAAATGTCTAAGGAAATAGATGATTTGCATCCAGTAGTCTCTTCTGTCACTTGTGTGCAGACTGTACAATTGCATCTTCTCAGTTCTCTCGCTCTGGCCCAGCTGTTTTGACAGCATGTCCTTCCCTGTGTTGTCAGTTCCACGCCATGGATACGCTGCAGCGGAATGGCTATGACCTGGCCAAGGCCATGTCCACACTAGTGCCCCAGGGAGGGCCAGTACTGTGCAGGGATGAGATGGAGGAATGGTCGGCTTCCGAAGCCATGCTCTTTGAGGAGGCCTTGGAGAAATATGGCAAAGACTTCAACGACATCCGGCAGGACTTTGTGAGTTGTGGGCATAGATTGGGTTGAACAAACCCCCTCTGGGTTGCTGTGAGTTTTCTGGTTGTCTGGCGATGTTCCAGAAGCATTATTTCCTGACGTTTCACCTGCATCTATGGCAGGCCTCCTCAGAGGTTGTGGAATGTTCAGGGTGGGAGAAAGAACTCTTGTCTGTTTGAGGCAGGTGTGAATGTTGCAATTGGCCACATTGATTAGCATTGAAAAGCCTTTCAGCTTCAAGATCTGGCTGCTTTTTACCTGGGTGCAACCCCCCTCTGACTTCCAGTGGATCATTTACTATCACTCTTGTGTCCCCCAAAAAGGGCTGTATTCTCCCCACAACCCTGGAAGTGAGTGCATCATTGTTCATCTTCTGGCAAGTGGGCAAAGATAGTGTCTGATTTGAACCAGGCCTTAGTTAGGATTGTCCCTGGATGTATTCAGTACAGCAGGATGGGTTGGAGCTGTGCATGTTCCTGAAATCTATGTCCCTTGCAGCTCCCATGGAAATCACTGGCCAGCATTGTGCAGTTCTACTATATGTGGAAAACTACAGACCGATACATCCAACAGGTAGGTGTGCTGTTTTATCCCTGCATCTAAGGGTTGCCTGTGATCAGTGTTCATTGCCCAAAGACTACGCATATATTAGCGGAGTAGTTTTTATTTTAACCTCAGAGCAGGTCACACAACACAACAGTTCTTCATCTTTTTTTGTCAGTAGGCATTTTATAAGGTTTAGACAGTAACCAGAACTGATTGCCAATTACTGTATATACTCGAGTATAAGCTGACCCGAATATTAGCCGAGGCACAAAAAACTGGAAAAACATATTGACTCGAGTATAAGCCGAGGGTGGGAAGTGCAGCCACTACAGGTAAATTTCAAAATAAAAATAGATACCAATAAAATTACATTAATTGAGGCATCAGGAGGTGAAATGTTTTTGAATATTTACATAAAACTGTAATTTGAGATAAGACTGCCCAACTCTGATTAAATCATTACATATCTTCAATGTAAATGTACTTATCCTTCCAAAAATAATAGAGTAAAATAATAAATATAATAATAATAATAAAGTAAAATAATGGAAATGCAATAATAACAGTAATAATAGAGTAGAATAATAAATGTAATAATAGAGTAAAATAATAAATGCAATAATAATAAAGTAAAATAATAAATGTAATAATAATCATAAATAGTGTAAAATAATAAATGTTATAATAATAATAGGGTAAAATACTGTAAATGTAATAATAATAAAGAGAGTAAAATTATACATGACATAAAAATAATACTAATAACAGAGTAAAATAATAAATAACCTTGACTCGAGTATAAGCCGAGGGGAGCTTTTTCAGCCTAAAAAAGGGCTCAAAAACTAGGCTTATACTCAAGTATATACAGTACTTAGCACTCTAGATCTCCATCCTATGTGCATTCAGCTGGGCTGCTATATTGATTACATGGATCTTTTAACTGATTCTATTTTAGTGGAGGTTGTTTTATCCAATTTATATACAGAGTTTATGTAACGTTATTAGTGTTTTCATGTGGTATTTTATTTTATGTATTGGGCCTCCCAGTGGCGCCGCGGGTTAAACCGCTGAGCTGCTGAACTTGCTGACCGAAACGTTGGCAGTTTGAATTCAGGAAGCAGGGTGAGCTCCTGCTATGAGCCCAACTCCTGTCAACCTAGCAGTTCAAAAACATGCAAATGTGAGTAGATCAATAGGTGCCCCTTCTGTGGGAAGGCAACGGTGCTCCATGCAGTCATGCCAGCCACATGACCATGGAGGTTTCTACGGACAACACTGGCTCTTCAGCTTAGAAATTGAGATGAGCACCACCTCCCAGAGTCTGACTCGGCTAGACTTAATGTCAAGGGGAAACTATCTTTACTATTATGTATTTTATGCATAGAATCTTTGTGTGCTATTTTGTAAGCTTCCCCGAGTGGTGGCGGGGTATAAATAAAGTTGTATTATTATTGTTTTCGAAACAGAAAAGATTGAAAGCAGCTGAAGCTGACAGCAAGTTGAAACAAGTATACATCCCCACTTAGTGAGTATCTTTCCCTGCAGAAAATAATAATAGTAATAGTAATACTAGTAATAATAGTAATATTTCTTTCTTGCCTCTCCTCATGGCTTGAGGCAGGGCACTGTAGGAAATTGTTGTTGTGGCATTGCAGGAAAATTTTGTTGTTGTTGTTATTTTTTACCTGCCTCCCCTCACAGCTTGAGCTTGGGTGTAACAGTTAAAACACATCATTAGAAAAACATTCAGTAAAATTCATAAAACACAGAGAAAGCAAGTAGGCCTTTTTAACTGTGTTGTTTTCTCCAGTACTAAACCCAATCCGAACCAAATTGTCTCTGTGGGTTCCAAACCTGGCATGAATGGAGCTGGCTTCCAGAAGGGATTGACATGTGAGAGCTGCCACAGTAAGTATTCCTCTGGACCTGCAGGGGATTGTGGGGATTTGTCCCATATTTCTGTTGTGAAGGAATTTGACCCTGTATCATTTTGCTCCAAATGGGTTTAGCAGTTTTCAGTGATGAGTTTAAAAGATCATGGCAGCTTTGGACCTACTTATGTTTGTGACATTGCCATCCTTACCTCCCTCTTGCCCTGCAGCTACGCAGTCAGCACAGTGGTATGCCTGGGGCCCACCCAACATGCAGTGCCGCCTCTGTGCTTCGTGTTGGATCTACTGGAAAAAATATGGAGGGCTGAAGACTCCAACACAACTCGAGGGAGCAGCACGTAGCGTCACGGTAACACCATTGGATATTTTCTATAGTCTGAGAATTCCCCACTTCGATACGTCCCCTCCATGTCTGTCTTTCATGACTTCTTTGAAGCCTCTAAAACTTAACCATTATTATTATCCATATATTTTGAGAGCTGATAGGGGAAAACGGGTGCTGCTTTTGTAATCAGCAGGTCCAATAGACCTGAAAAATTTTGTTGTGATTCAACTCCACACTGCCCAAGTCCCAAGTCCTTAATGAGGAACAGTTAGTTAGCTTAGTATAGACTAAGGGTTTCTCTTCCTCGTGTCTCCTGAATGACAGTTGGGAATGTATCTTTTTCTTTCTCTTTCTGCTCTCATTCGGATTGGTTGTTTAAAATGGATATTTTTCCACTGCAAGCCTTTTTGAATCTGACTTCTGCCTTCTTACACTTTAGTATGGAGAGTATGTGATGTGTGCTTTGAGATCTCTCTCTGCTTGTCTGTCAGAGAGATGTGTTGATTTGTGTTTTCCCCTCTCTTGAAACGTTATAGGAGAGGGGTGTTAGAGTTGCTCAGACCCAGTTCTTAACTATTAAGAAATACAGATATTGTTTATTATAGTAAATAAACCTTTTTGTGATTTTTAAAGCTTAGACTCTGCATCTTTGCCTGCCTAATGTCACGTTGCCAGGGCTCTGCCTTATTTAGGTAGAGATGAATCAAACTCCCAGTATTATCAAACAGTTTAATTAAAACAGCACTTACTTGCTGGCTGTTTTAATAGACCAAAACATAAACATAAAGATAGCAAAAACAATTCCGTAGTCAAAAGGGTCCAGTCCAGTGGTCAAACGCCGAGAGTTCAATAAACAAAGTCCAGGGATCAAGAGTCTATACCGTAGTCAAAAGCCAGTCCAAAGGTTCAAGGTTCCAGGATTCCAAGATTACACGAGACAGGTCAGGATACTGAAAAATCCAACAGACCTAGGGGAAAAACTAGCAGCATCCACCACCAAAATGCAACAGATACTTTTCTCCCAAAGATAAGACTCAAAGTTAGCTGCCTAAATCCAGTAACACCCAGCTGCAACCCATCTCCTGCACACCTCCACCCTTAATTGCTTTTACCTGTAAACTATTACTTACAAACTACTCAGCCCTTTTAGAACCATGACTTACATTAACCCTTCCATCACCTACTGCCAGGTCTACCACCACCAACCACCATCAACTATGGAACATATAAATAATAATAATAATAATTATAATTATAATAACAATAATAATAATAATAATAAACTTTTTTTCTACTCCGCCACCATCTCCCCGATGGGGACTCGGAGCGGCTTACATGGGGCCAAGCCCGGACAACATAATACAGCAATAAAATCAAAACATATGCAACAAACAACAACATCATCAAAGTTACATTAAAAAGGAAAAAAATCATAAAATATTCCAATAAGCACAATCACAGTAATGATGGCAATGGGTAATGTCACGGTAAAAATGACATATGACACCTAAGCTCTAAATTCTTTACAGCCACATCACATGGCACTTCATGCTTTGTTTGCTAATAAGTTGATGCTTAACTTTAAGTGTCCTGTTTGTTTTTGGATGCTCTTCTTTATAATTTAGGGTAGTTTTCCCAAACGAAAAGGGTTATGGGTCCAGCACGCTTCTGCCACATCACATGGCATTTCATGCTTTGCTCACTAATAAGTTGATGCCTATAAGTGTCCTGTTTGTTTTTAGATGTTCTGCTTTATAATTTAGGGTAGTTTTCCCTAACATATTTGAGGCACACAAATGTGTGTTGGTCAGTGTAATCTAATTATGAAAGCAGGGTTGCCTGTAAACAAAGCATAAGGTTTAGCTTTTACTTCTCCATTGATACGTGGCCGTGAGCTGCCCAAGTTTACAAACATTGAGGTGACATTTTGCCCTTCTGTCCTGCAATTTAATTATGAACTACAGATAACGTAATTCTTCCCCTGTTTACAGGAGCCACACTCCAGAGGCCATATGTCTCGACCAGAAGCCCAAAGCCTCTCGCCATACACAACCAGTGCCAATAGGGCGAAACTTCTGGCAAAAAACCGGCAGACCTTCCTGCTGCAGACCACCAAGCTGACTCGCATTGCACGTCGAATGTGCCGGGATATTCTGCAGCCCCGCCGAGCCGCCCGGCGTCCTTACGCGCCCATCAATGCCAACGCCATCAAGGCAGAGTGTATGTGGTTTTGGAGGGAAGAACCACCTGCGCCTCGTGATTGTGGGTGGAAGGGCTAGCTATGAGGTCTAGTGAATAATAATAATAATAATAACACTTTATTTATACCCCGCTACCATCTCCCCAAGGGACTCGGTGCGGCTTACATGAGGCCGAGCCCAAATACAACAATACAGCAATAATCACAACAATACAAGCAATTAAAATAAACATAAACAAATATACAACATTATCAATAAGACAACATACAATTAAAACTGTGGGAAGGCCAAATGTAAAATTAAAATTGGAAATAATGCTGGGGCATGGATGAAAAGGTGAAAGTGGCGTTTGTGGAAAGACATACGAGCAGACCTAAAAATGTAAAGTGCTTTGGAGGACAAAGTGCTATGAGATCATTATTCCGGGAAGGCACACTGGAACAACTACGTCTTCAAGCTCCTCCTAAAGACTGCCAGGGTTGGGGCCTGCCTGATGTCCTTAGGGAGTGAGTTCCAGAGTCAAGGGGCCACTACCGAAAAGGCCCTCTCTCTCATCCCCGCCAATCGCGTCTGCGATGCTGGTGGGATCGAGAGCAGGGCCTCTCCAGATGAACGAAGAGATCATGTGGGTTCGTATACAGAGAATAGTGAATCTCATCTCACTTCCCTACCCCTTCGCTGCAGGCTCTATCCGGCTTCCCAAGGCTTCAAAGACCCCTCTCAAGATTCACCCTCTGGTTCGGCTTCCCCTGGCTGCCATTGTCAAGGAACTAGGTAAGGCTTGTTCACATTTACCACTTCCCTGGTGTTCAAACAACAATGTAGAGGTTAAAGGCATTCATCAAGTATGGGAATTCTCTCAAATGTATAGATGGGCTATTTGGGTATACCTGTGTTTCTCTTTGAGGTCACCCATGTTGGGCAAGTGGGCAAAAGACCCTCCTCATAAATGTACAGCAGAGTAACTTATCAGCAGCAGCATGACACAGCACCAGTAGCCCAAAAGTGATAAAAAGAAGAAAAACACACAGACCAATGTTATCTCTTTCTTAGGAGGCTTTTCTTTATAGCAAAATAATATGGTTGCGCTATTTACAATAACTAGGTTTCCATTACCAAATAAACAAATACATAGTAGCTTTACATGCAGCAACCTTCACACTGGAGCTTTTTCACATGAGGCTTCTCTCACACAGAGGTTTACCACACACTCCTCAGGATGACACAAGCTTTGGCCCACTAACTGTTAATAGGCTTCGCCCTACTCACTCAGGATGATACTAGCTTTGGCTTCAGCCTACTCACTCTCCTCAAAACTACACTAGCTTTGGCCAACTGACTCTGACAGGCTTCGGCCTGCTCACTCTCCTCAGGACGACACTAGCTTTGACCCACTGACTCTAATAGGCTTTGGCCTACTCACTTTTTCAGTGCTTGACTCACACTTTTTGTAATCAAAAATACCCAGTTAACATTTAATATTTTTGATAACCCACAACTCAATATTGGTTTTTTTCCCCCCTAGCTGCTCAGGCCCCTCTGAAACCAAAAACCCCACGAGGCACGAAAACACCCATCAACAGAAACCAGTTGACCCAAAACCGAGGCTTGGCGGGCATCGTGGGCAAGCGAGCCTATGAGAGTGTGAGTGCCATGGGGGCTTTGGGGAAGATGTTAAACAACAACGAACAAATGTGTTAAGAGAGGTACAACATTTTGAGGCTGAGGGAGGAGGGGGAGAACCACAAACGTAGCTTGTTTTGTGGAAAAGAGCAAAATGGCAAAATGGTGTTTTTGTTTTTCTAATTTTGATGGGTTTCTGCATCTGTAACTGGTGGTAATGGCATGGCACTGCTTACGTTTGCTCGGATTTCTGTTCCCTAGTAGAAGGTAGAAGCCTTTTTCTTGAGACCTTGAGTCTTTCTGGGCTCTGGTAGAAGATGGGGAATTGCCAGCCTCCCTGCAGCCATGTATATAGGCCCCTTTTCCAATGCAGAGCATCCCAAGGGATGACTTGGGAGGGAGGGAGCGAAAGATGGAGATGGATTTTTGGGGGGCGGGGGCTTCCTCTCGCTGATAGCTCTGTGTGGACCGGGTGCAGGTGGCAGGGGGCGGGCTCCCCTTCTCAGCCAACGGCCGGCCCATGACTTCCGGGATGAGGTCGAGCACTCAGCCTGCCATGAAACGTCAGAAGCTGAACCCTGCCGACGCCCCCAACCCTGTCGTTTTTGTGGCTACCAAGGACACCAGGTAACTGTGGAAGGGTTTTTTTTTTAAATGTCATGGGGGCTTAGCAAAAAAGGGGCTGGCAAGGGTGGTAGGGCATAGAGCTGGCCTCTTTTGTTCAGCCCTCCTGCAACAAAATAAAACAAAGAGTCTCCCTGACCCTTCCCATGTCATCGACTTTTGCTGCAGCCTGATATTGAAACCTCCCATTCCAACATTTCTTCAGCAATTCTGAGGCCTGTAACTTATAGAATCATAGAATAATAGAGTTGGAAGAGGCCCCAAGGACCATCCAGTCCAACTCTCTTCTGCCAGGCAGGAAAAGCACAATCAAAGAACCCCTGACAGATGGTCATCCAGCCTCTGTTTAAAAGCCTCCAAAAAAGGAGCTCCCACCGGACTTTGGGGCAGAGAGTTCCAATGTTGAATAACTCTTGCAGTCAGGAAGTTTCTCCTAATGTTCAGGTGGAATCCCCTTCCCTGTATTTAATAATAATATTAATAATAATAATAATACTTTATTTCTGTTCCACCCTATCACCCCAAAAGGACTCAGTGTGGATTCCAACATACAACAGCAAACATTCAGTGCCTTCATAAAAACAAACAAATGTCGTCATAAAATTCCAGCAAAACCCCACATGTGAAAACAGCAATTAAAACCTAAGATCAGTGAATTAAATCTAACATCAATAAATTAAGGCAACATAGACAAAAATTACATAATGACATAAAATCTGAACAAATATCCACATTAATTTACAGAAGGCAATTGGAGTTCACAAAGTTGTGTGGGTTGCTTGTGTGGCCTATGGTGGCAAATTGGGCTGACAGAGACATAATTTGAATCCATGGCTCCAAGAGCAGTGTCCAGACAAGAGATCGTAACTTAGCCAGCACTTCAATCTGGTAATTTTTGTCTAGTGTGTATCGCAAACAAGTAAACATCTACCAGTGGTGTCGAAGCCTTGGTCCTCCAAGTGTTTTGGACTTCAGCACCTAAAATTCCTTACCATTGGGCAAGGTTGCTAGTGTCTTCTGGGTGTTGGAGACTGAAACACCCAGGGGACATCAGGTTGGACACCATTAATCTACATATTTTAACATTTACTGCATATATTGAGCTTTGTGGAATTCTGGATATAACATCCAGCAGAAAAAGCTTTTTTAAAAAGTAAAATGAACACTGTGTATTTAAAGACTTTGCGTTCTTCATTGCCACAGGTAAAATAAATAATAATAAACTTTATCTATATACTTCCCTATCTCCCCGAAGGGACCCAGGGCAGTTTCCAACATATTGCAACCATTCATTGCCTAAAGAAAACCATAGAAACAGTTTACATCAAGACAAAACACATTAGACAATATAAACAACCTAACTGTAATTTAATAAACAAAATAATGACAAATAAAATATATACTAAAAATAAAAAAATGAAAATAAAATAAAAACATTGCAAAATACAAAAACCTTTATGATAAACCAAGTTTCTAGCTAGCATAAACTGTTCTGCTGATTTGAATTGTTAGTGTGCAATTCTGAAGTCTAGAAAATGTGTCTCTTTGCCTTTTTTAAAGCTATGCTATATATCAGAGGAAGGAACTAGCAAAACCACTTCTGAGTATTCCTCGCTTAAGAAAGCCCATGAGATTGCCCTAAATCGACAGTGTGTGCTTACCCACATAAAAGTGTGTGTGCTTACCCACACGATTCTCAAAGCCAAGTATGTGTAAAGCAGGTAGCTTTAGTGTTTGGACACAGTTTTTGTTTCAGAAACAGTGAGCTGCTCCTAAGTGTCTTTCCCCCCAAGACACAACCTTGTATCAATATGTGAATTTAGGTGAGAATCCCTTTTGTCATAAATGTTTAAGATGGAGTCCCTGGTGGTGCAGTGGGTTAAACCCTTGTGCCAGCAGGACTGCTGACCAAAAGGTCATTGGTTTGAATCTGGGGAGCAGGGTGAGCTCCCATCTGTCAGCTCCAGCTTCTCATGCGGTGACATGAGAGAAGCCTTCCAGAGGATGGTAAAACATCCAGGCATCCCCTGGGCAACATCCTTGTAGATGTCCAAATCTCTCACACCAGGAGCGACTTGCAGTTTCTCAATTTGCTCCTGACACAATAAATAAATAAACAAACAAACAAACAAATAAATAAATGTTAAGGTGATGAAGCTTTTTGGTGCTTTTGTCACTGGAACAAAAAGGAAAAAAGTTCGTAAACTTGTTGATTGAGAAATAATCCAAATCTCTTGAGGCAAGAGACATGAAGGGGAAGGGATGGAAGCACAAGTGGCAGAAAATATTGAGGAGAATTAATGAAAAGATTACTTAGGAGTCCTCAAAAACTGAGCCTGGTTCTCAAGACACCAACCTGTGGATTATAATATAATAATAATGTCTTTATTTATGGCGCAGAGGGCTAAACCGCTTAACTTACTGACCGAAAGGTTGGCAATTTGAATCTGGGAGCAGGGTGAGCTCCCGCTGTTAGGCCTAGCTTCTGCCAACTTAGCATTTCGAAAACATGCAAATGTGAGGTAATGGTGCTCCATGCAGTCATGCTGGCCACATGACCTTGGAGGTGTCTACAGATAAAGCCGGCTCTTTGGCTTAGAAAAGCATCATCCCCCAGAGTCGGACACAACTAGGCTTAATATCAAGGGGAAATCTTTACCTTTACAACTTTATTTATATCCTGCTTTTCCTAAGGCGTCTTAGGTAAAGGTAAAGGTTTTCCTTGACATTAAGTGTAGTCATGTCCGATTCTGGGGGGTGATGCTCATCTCCATTTCTAAACAGAAGAGTCGGCATTGTCCGTAAACACCTCCAAGGTCGTGTGGCTGGCATGACTGCATGTAGCGCCGTTACCTTCCTGCCAAAGCGGTACCTATTGATCTATTCACATTTGCATATTTTTGAACTGCTAAGTTGGTGGAAGCTGGCACTAACAGCGGGAGCTCACCCCACTCCCTGGATTCCAACTGTCGAACTTTCAGTGAGCAAGTTCAGCAGCTCAGTGGATTAACCCGCTGCAGCACCAGGGCATTATACACCATTATACAAAGTGGCTTACAGCATTATATAAAAGAGAATTGTATTCTCTGCCATGTTCTCTTTTCTGAGGAACATACCAGGGGGTTTTGTCTTCCTCTGATTGCTCTATTTGTGTTATTGAACTGCTCATCATAATACTAGCCCCATGCCTCTTCTTCCTCCCGCAGGGCTCTCCGCAAGGCTCTGAGCCACATGGAGATGCGCCGCGCGGCCCGTCGGCCCAATCTGCCGCTGAAGGTGAAATCGGTGCTGCCCCTGCGCCCAGTGGTGGCCCCCCTGGTGCCCGTGCCTCCAGTCCACCCTGCCAGCACCAGCGAGCCCATCATCCTGGAAGACTGAGTGTTGTTGCTTCTCTGGCCTCCCCTCTAGGGCCCTTGTAGCCATCTCACTAAACGCCCCTTTTCCGTGCCCAAGGCCTTTTTCTTGGCAGAGGGAACTTCCAAGCTCCGAGTTGCCAAGTGTTTGCTGGGATCAGGCCATGCAGGCAGGAACATCCGTTCTCTCTCCCCATTCCTTCCCCCTGGATCCTAGAGATCCAACATTTCTTTTCTTATATATTATATATTTTAACATTGTTTTTCCCTCTCCTTCCCCATCCCCACAGACTTGCGCACAAAGCTGCCATCCTTTCCAGGAAATATTATAAATGCAGATTGTGCCCTCATTTGCGGGAGAGGATACTGTAGGTGTGGCACAGAATCCCTTCCAAAGTTTCTCCTTTTGAAGCTGCCTCTACAGCTGATTTTATTTTTTAATGTGTGTGTGTGTCTTTCTTTCCTTTTTTGTTTGTCCTTTTTTAAAAATAGTCTCTCCAGTCCTACATAAGAAATTTGGGGGAAGGGGGTCGACTCCGTATCTCTGATAACATGGCTACCCCATTGACCCGACCTTTGATGAGTCAGTCCATTTTTGTACATGGTTTAGAGAGGAAAAGTCAGGTTTTTTAAGTCAGTCTCTGGTTCTTATAGCAACAAAAATAAATGCCGTTTTCTTCATATCTCTGCTTTGTTCATTTTAATCTCTGTGCTATAGGCTAAAGCCAGCACTTTGAATTGTGCTTGGTAGCAGTCTGGCAGCCAGTGGATCTGACATAACAGGGGTTGTATGCTCCCTGTATTTACTTACCATATATACTCTAGTATAAGCCGACCCGACTATAAGCCGAGGCACCTAATTTTATGACAAAAAAACTGGGAAAACATATTGACTCAAGTGTAAGTTGAGGGTGGGAAATGCAGCCACTACTGGTAAATTTCAAAATAAAAAAAGATACTAATAAAATTACATTAATTGAGGCATCAGTAGATTAAATATTGACATAAAACTGTAACTTAAGATAAGACTGCCCAACTCTGATTACACCAATATTCTAACCTTCTTCAATGTAAATGTGAATACGTATCTTTCCAATAATAATAAAGAGAGTAAAATAATAAATGTAATAATAATAATAATAATAATAATATAGTAATAATAATAAAAATGTAATAATATTGTAAAATAATACATGTAATAGCAATAATAAATAGAGTAAATTTAAGATAATACTGCCCAACTCTGATTAAACCATTATTCTAATCTTCTTCAATGTAAATGTGAATACGTATCCTTCCAATAATAATAGAGTAAAATAATAAATGTAATAATAATAATAATATAGTAATAATAATGAAAATGTAATAATACTAGTAATAATATTGTAAAATAATACATGTAATAACAATAATAAATAGAGTAAAATTATAAATGTAATAATAATAATAGAGTAAAATTATAAATGGAATAAAATAATAACAGAGGAAAATAATAAATAACCTTGACTTGAGTATAAGCCAAGGGGGATGTTTTCAGCCTTAAAAAAGGGCTGAAAAACTAGCCTACACTAGAGTATATACAGTAACTTTGAATTTCATGAGAGAATGACAAAAGATGGTCCTCCAGGTGCTGGAGTGCAACAGCCAGCATCCCTTTCCCATTGGCTATGCTGCCTAAATATGTCATTCTGCCACATCTAGAGGGTCAGAAGTCCCAATGCTTACATTAAAGAAATCACATACACAAAAGAGCCATACCTGTTGTTTATAGAGATGTCTCCAGGCAAGCTGGACTCTTTGTGGCAGAACTTGACCACAGGATGGTGAGCAGTCAGCACAGTTTGGACGTTGTGCAGCCAGTACTGGTAAATTTCAAAATAAAAATAGATACCAATAAAATTACATTAATTGAGGCATCAGGAGGAGAAATGTTTTTGAATATTTACATAAAACTGTAATTTGAGATAAGACTACCCAACTCTGATTAAATCATTATTCTAACCTTCTTCAAAGTGAATGTACTTACGTATCCTTTCAACAATAATAGAGTAAAATAAATGTAATAATAATAATAAAGTAAAATAATGGAAATGCAATAATAACAGTAATAATAGAGTAAAATAATAAATGTAATAATAAGGTAAAATACTCTAAATGTAATAATAATAAAGAGAGTAAAATAATACATGAAATAAAAGTAAAATAATACATGAAATAATACTAATAGCAGAGTAAAATAATAAATAACCTTAACTCAAGTATAAGCCAAGAGGAGCTTTTTCAGCCTAAATGAGGGGCTGAAAAACTAGGCTTATACTCAAGTATATACCGTACTTACTTGGGCGATCCTTTTAGCTTGAGGATGATGGTCCTCCAAGTGTAGTGTCTTGGCGGTAGGTCTGTAGGTGGCTGTGGTGCCCTATTCTTGATCCGCATATTCTCCCGCAGTGAGGACATCGGTTTTCAGGTAGAAGGCGGTACTAGTCAGGGTTGGGTTGACGCATCTTCCTCTTGGTAAGTTCCTCCCTCTTGCCCTCCATCTGTGCCTCTTCAAATTCCACAGCATTGCTGGTCACAGCTGCCCTCCAGTTAGAACGCTCAAGGCCCAGGGCTTCCCAGTTCTCTCTCGGTGTCTCTGCCACAGTTTTTAAGGTTGGATTTACGCCCGTCTTTCAATCTCTTTTCCCATCCACCAACATTACGTTTCCCATTCTTGAGTTGGGAGAATAGTAACTGCTTTGAGAGGCATTTTGGAAGGCTTTGGGCATTTGGACAACGTGGCATTCAGTCCAGCAGATGATGGCATAGGAACATCACTTCAGTGCTTGTGGTCTTTGCTTCTTCAGCATGCTAACATATCTAGTCCTGTCTTCCTAAGAGATTTGCAGGTTTTTTGGAGGCAACGCTGATGGAATCCTTCCAGGAGTTGCGTGTAACGTCTGTAGACAGGCTGTGTTTCGCAGGCATATAGCAGCGTTAGGAGGACAATGGCTTTATAAACAAGCACTTTGGTCTCCCTACGAATGTCCCGGTCCTCCCTGTATGCTGCTCCAGTGAGCAACCTGGCTGCTGTCCATTGGACCACTTGAAGCTTCTGAACAGTCTTCAAATGTGTAGAGTGCATTGCAGTTGTCTATTCGGGATGTAATCCAGCTGGATCTACACTGCTATATGGCCAGGGTTGAACCTCAATGTTTTCACATATTAACAGCATAACGCCTATAAGTAAATGGTATAAACTACTTGATTTCTGTAAATAACCATTATTCTCTAAATATTCAATCTGATTTCCATAGAGTTAGTGTTTATAGCCTGAAAACGGGATTTATAAACATTGGAAAAATTGGATAATCTTCACATGGGCAGCACTTCAAAATAGAACAGATAGTAGCAATGACAATAATTATTTATTGCTTGACTTTCCTTGTGGCTTGAGGTGGAGTAGAGCAAGGTTGAAACAGCAAGATGGAACAAAACTATTGTAATACATGTAGTAAATGTAGTGTAGATGCATTCTGTGTTATCTATATTTGAAATATGGAGGTACACATAATTTGGGCTGAGGCCATGAATTGAGTAAAAATCTAAAATTCAGTGTTCAACAAAGGCTAGGTGAAGTGGTGCACAATGTCACTGGATTGGCTGCTGCTAGGTGAAGTGGCCCTCTGATGCCTTAAAGCAGGCATGGGCAAACTTGGGCCCTCCAAATGTTCTGGACTTCAACTCCCACAATTCCTAATAGCCTTGGACCTCTTCCTTTTCCCCAGGCAAATACCCATATCCATGATTATATCTATGCATATGTCTATCTACACCTATCGATCTATGTGCCTATCTATTAATCTCTATTTTTCTATCTATGGGTCTATCCATCTGTCTAAATGCCTATATTCATCTCTTATCTATCATCTATCTGTCTATGGGTCTGTCCATCTGTCTGTTTATGTGCCTACTAGCCATCCCCTGCCACGCATTGCTGTGGCCCACATGGGGGTTCTGTATGGGAGGTTTGGCTCAATTCTATTGTTGGTGGGGTTCAGAATGCTGTATGATTGTAGGTGAACTATAAATCCCAGCAACTACAACTCCCAAATATCAAGATTCTATTTTCCCCAAAATCCACCAGTGTTCACATTCGGGCATATTTAGTATTCTTGTAGAGTTGGTCCAGATCCATCATTGTTTGAGTCCACAGTGATCTCTGGATGTAGGTGAACTACAACTCCAAAACCAAAGGACACTGCCCACCAAACCCTTCCAGTATTTTCTGTTGGTCATGGGAGAACTGTGTGCCAAGTTTGGTTCAATTCCATCGTTGGTGGGGTTCAGAATGCTCTTTGATTGTAGGTGAACTATAAATCCCAAATGACAAAATCATTTTTTTTGAGTGAAGGACATACATTGGGTTGTTATGTGTCTTGTGTCCAAATTTGGTGTCAATTCGTCCAGTGGCTTTTGAGTTCTGTTAATCCCACAAACGAACATTATATTTTTATTTATATATAAGATCTATCTGTGGGTCTATCAGTCTATCTAAGTGCCTTTCTTTCTATCGATGCGCCTATGCATCCATCCTTTGTGTCTATCAGTGTGCCTATGTATCTATCGATAAAGGGCCTGGGGCTATTAGGAATTGTGGGAGTTCAAGTCCAAAACAGTTCAACAGTGACAAATGCAAGATACTCCACTTTGGCAGGAAAAACGAAATGCAAAGATACAAAATGGGGGACAATGCCTGGCTCGAGAGCAGTACGTGTGAAAAAGATCTTGGAGTCCTCGTGGACAACAAGTTAAACATGAGCCAACAATGTGATGTGGTGGCAAAAAAAGCCAATGGGATTTTGGCCTGCATCAATAGGAGCATCGTGTCTAGATCTAGGGAAGTAATGCTACCCCTCTATTCTGCTTTGGTTAGACCACACCTGGAATATTGTGTCCAATTCTGGGCACCATAATTCAAGAGAGATATTGACAAGCTGGAATGTGTCCAGAGGAGGGCGACTAAAATGATCAAGGGTCTGGAGAACAAGCCCTATGAGGAGCGGCTTAAGGAGCTGGGCATGTTTAGACTGAAGAAGAGAAGGCTGAGAGGAGATATGATAGCCATGTATAAATATGTGAGAGGAAGCCACAGGGAGGAGGGAGCAAGCTTGTTTTCTGCTTCCCTGGAGACTAGGACGCGGAAACAATGGCTTCAAACTACAAGAAGGAGATTCCATCTGAACATGAGGAAGAACTTCCTGACTGTGAGAGCCGTTCAGCAGTGGAACTCTCTGCCCCGGAGTGTGGTGGAGGCTCCTTCTTTGGAAGCTTTTAAACAGAGGCTGGATGGCCATCTGTCAGGGGTGATTTGAATGCAACATTCCTGCTTCTTGGCAGAATGGGGTTGGACTGGATGGCCCATGAGGTCTCTTCCAACTCTTTGATTCTATGATTCTAAGGGCCCAAGTTTGCCCATGCCTGCCTTAAATGGAAGAGTGCTGTAGTTTTGATGCCAGGATACTATCTGAGACACGTTATTGCTTCTGAGAAACGTTTGGTGGCTTTTCCCATTTAGATTTCAAGAGCAGTGCAAGCACATGGCTACCGCCGGAAGTGACGTCGACAGAAGTCTTTCCTGCGTCGGTACAAAGCGGAACCAGAGCGCCTCTGGGGGGGCAGGAGCGCCTCGTACGCATGCGCCGAAAAGGCCAAAGAGCGCCTCCTGTGTCGCTCTCTAGCCATCCGCTTCTGAGGAAAACGAGGGAAAGTCTCGAGGAGGGAATGGCGGAACGAGGGAAGGACGATGTGGAGCCGCTCCCCCGCGGGGGCTTCCGCTGCCGCCTCTGCCGCGTTGCAGTCGCCAACAGTGAGTGTGGGGCCTGCCTTTGAAGGCCTGCTTGGTCGTAGTGGCCCTCCTGAGGCGTGAAGGCCAGAGAAAGGGCGGGCCAAGGCATCCCAGAGGGGAAGGGGCACCCCAGAGGCCATCCAGCCCCACCCCCTTCTGCCAGGCAGGAAGGCACCACCAAAGCCCTCCCAACAGATTATCTTTCTATATAAAAATGCTCTGTGCATAATGAGTACCTTAAAAACAAAAGAACCAATGAACAAAATCACACCAAATCTGGCAGCAAAACGTCTTGCAACACAAGGAGTGACCATCACTCAAAAAACTTATGATTTTGTCATTTGGGAGTTGTAGTTGCTGGGATTTATAGTTCACCTATAATCAAAGAGCATTCTGAACCCCACCAACAATGGAATTGAAGCAAACTTGGCACACAGGCCTCCCATGACCAGCAGAAAATACTAGCATCATTTGGTGGGCACTGACCTTGAGTTTGGGAGCTGTAGTTCACCTACATCCAGAGAGCAAACAATGATGGATCTGGACCAAATTTGGCACGAATATTCCATATGCCCAAATATAAACACAGATGGAGTTTGGGGGAAATAGATCTTGGCATTTGGGAGTTGTAGTTACTGTGATTTATAGTTCACCTACAATCAAAGACTATTCTGAATGAACCCCACGAATGACAGAACTGGGGCAAACTTCCCACACAGAACCCCCATGACCAACAGAAAATACTTAAGGCCATCCAGTCCAACTCCCTTCACCAGGGCAAGAAAACGTAATCAAAGCCCTCCTGACAGAGAGCCATCCAGCCATAGATATAGATACTAGATATACAGGGTTAGTCAAAATGAATAGGCTAATAAGAAAATTAATTTTAGACGAATGTATGTTTACTGTAACCAAACTACAGCTACGTAGCGACAGATAAACTATCAAAGTTTTGTCTCACCTTCAGAGATGTTCGATATGGGCGCCCCGTGTGACACGGCAGATGTCCAAGCGATAGTCCAGTTCATTCCACATCCGTTGCAGCACATCCGACGTAATGGCATCGAATGCAGCAACGTCTGGGAAGGTGTTCGTTGAGGTCCCTAACCCTAACCCTATCCCTAACCCTATCCCTAACCCTATCCCTAACCCTATCCCTAACCCTATCCCTAACCCTAACCCTAACCCTATCCCTAACCCTATCCCTAACCCTATCCCTAACCCTAACCCTATCCCTAACCCTATCCCTATCCCTAACCCTAACCCTATCCCTATCCCTAACCCTATCCCTAACCCTAACCCTATCCCTATCCCTATCCCTAACCCTATCCCTAACCCTAACCCTATCCCTATCCTATCCCTATCCCTATCCCTATCCCTATCCCTATCCCTATCCTTATCCCTAACCCTAACCCTAACCCTAACCCTAACCCTAACCCTAACCCTAACCCTAACCCTAACCCTATCCCTATCCCTAACCCTATCCCTAACCCTATCCCTAACCCTATCCCTAACCCTATCCCTAACCCTATCCCTAACCCTAACCCTAACCCTATCCAACCCTAACCCTAACCCTATCCCTAACCCTAACCCTAACCCTAACCCTATCCCTAACCCTATCCCTAACCCTATCCCTATCCCTATCCCTAACCCCATCCCTAACCCTAACCCTAACCCTAACCCTAACCCTAACCCTAACCCTATCCCTATCCCTATCCCTAACCCTAACCCTATCCCTATCCCTAACCCTAACCCTATCCCTATCCCTAACCCTAACCCTAACCCTAACCCTATCCCTAACCCTAACCCTATCCCTAACCCTAACCCTAACCCTAACCCTAACCCTAACCCTATCCCTATCCCTATCCCTATCCCTAACCCTATCCCTAACCCTATCCCTAACCCTATCCCTATCCCTAACCCTAACCCTTGAAATTCTCGCTGGACCGTAATTACTGACATTGTTTTAGCAAATGTCATCACACAAAACGCCTTCTCTTTGCTTGATTCCGCCATTTTGAAAACAGCGACCCCTAGCGACGCCTAGCGGCATTAACGTACATGTGTGTTGCTCAAAAAAAACTTTGATAGTTTATCTGTCGCTACGTAGCTGTGGTTTGGTTACAGTAAACATACATTCGTCTAAAATTAATTTTCTTATTGGCCTATTCATTTTGACTAACCTTGTATATCTAAAAAGGACTCCCATCTATTCTTTGAAGATATTGAATATGGACAATTATGTTGCATGTTCCAGAGTAGGCAAACCAGACAATCTCTACGTCAAACACTGTCAAAGAAACATCAAGAAATACTGTTTACCCACAAGCATAAAGACATTGCATATATTATAAGTACTTTATTTTCCATATCACCAGACTGGGCCACAGCAACGCGTGGCAGGGGACCGCTAGTAATATAATAAATAATAAACTTCATTTCTATACCGCCCTATCTCCTCGAGGGGACTCAGGGCGGTTTACAACAGAAAACTGGCAAACATTCAATGCTGGCATCACATAGCAAACAAATCAATTCATAAACAATAAAATAAACAACGTCAGGTGTACTTATAGAACAACTCAAAAATAACAAACTTAGACATTTAAATATATAAATCAAACATTTAGAACATGTTTACTACTAGATCTAATGATAGCAAACACTCAAAACATTAAAAGTAAAAAGGCATTTACAAGTCAACAGGGCTGAGGTGGTGTTCAAGTCAAGAGTGATTAAGGTGCTGGCCGAAGAAAATTATTACAGGACCTATAGGGGTCTAGTTCCCATTCCCCTCCCACACCCGCCTCCCCATAATATCCACCCCCATTCTTTATGCCCTCCCAGAGATTCCCAGATCCTC